CCTCCGGTAAAAATGGCTGGATGAATTGTTTAGTATTTTTAAAATGTGTTATGGTATACAGGTTTAATGTTAGTTGGCCCCTTATGGAAGGGCAAAGGATGGGGTGTAAATTTTTAACATAATATGGACAATGCATTGATTTTTCAGGCACTTTTTAGAGGCTACATACAGATTACCATTCAAGAAGCGGAACTGTTCAGAAAACAGGTCATCTCTGTGGAGGAAAATGTCCATGTCCATCATATTTAAAGTATAAGAGACCCAATGAAAGCTCATCATAGTACCCCTAACCCACTGTTGTAACTGTCCTCACTGATAACAACCATGGGTTAACAACACTTCCTTGAACAACTGCACTGCTATAGTGATGATGGGGTAGAAAAGCTCGTCATCTGTGACTCTGCCTTTCATTTAAGACGATTGCCTGTCCTAAAAGACGACCTAGATCCACCTGCAGTTAACCATATTAAGTGACACAAATATTTGTGCTTGCAAATAATTTGGCTCTCTACATATATTATTAAATAATAGCTGCAATACAAGTTGGGCCAATCAACATTCTTTATACAATGCCTTGCGGCTGCATAAGGAAGGAAGGCTGGGAAGTCGGGGCTCATTTGTTTTTAACCCTTACCAGCTCCAGAAATGAGTGAAATATGGCCACGTCATATAATAGCCTTCTGGGCAAGAGTAGGGTAAGCCCAAACATACAGACTGCCAGAAAGCCCTTCCACTTCGTTTATGTGATGAAACGGGGCTTTCCTGGCAAGAGTAGTTTGAAACTACTGCCCATTTTAGCCAGCATGGCAACCAAACGTGCAGGGCCTAGCCTCAAAAACCAGTTTAGTACCAGGGCTTAGGTCTGGGGCATGTGATCTATAGTAAGTGTGCTGTCCCAGCTATCCCACACACATTTGAGCTGAAGGAGGAGGACTTCTAAAGCAGAGATTATTGCTTCCACATCACAGCTTGAGTCTCAGCCTCTCCACTGTTATGCAGCAAAGCAGTGGTCCTGCCCAAGACTTGCTTCCCTTATCCCACTGCCCATAAACAAAGCACTCCTGTTTGTATATCATCTGCCAGTAGCCTGGCAGATAAGTAAAACTGGCCGATAGACATGATTGCTCTTATTGGCAGGGGTCCCTCTGGAGTGTGGAAAACCTGACACATGAAACAAGAGAATGTTTGGGCAGTCAACACCCATTCCTCCAACTCCTCGCACTCCTAACATTATCCACAGTCAGGTTTCTGGTGTTAGAGGGCTCGTGTCAGGCATCTGACAACTTTCTTGACCTATTGCCCTGGCTGTGTCACCTCAACTACTGCAGACAGTCTACTGTGATTGGGAAAACTTATGTTTAACATCTAAGCAGAGTTTTTTCAAGAAAGAACACTACTATGGTTTTTCAGCCAAGGAGTGTATAGGACAGAAAGAGCCAGTCATTCACCAAAGCCTAACGCAGGGAGAAGACTCAAGGTGCTTCTAGGCACAAGATTTTCCATGTGACAGAAGCATTGATGCCCACTGCTCATCCCTGCTAATACAAATGGCAAACCTAGGGCAAGCAGAATTGGCACACACAACACAGTCCCAAACTATTATCGTTCTTCTGTTTTGTGTTGTCTCTTCTAGCTCACTGCCAGTTAAACTCCACAACACAAAACAAGTCAGGGAGAAGGTGCCACCTAGACCAGGGTGTCAAACTTAAGGCCCGCAAGCCGGAAGCAGCTCACCCATGGCTTTAATCAGGCGCGCAGCTCTTTTCTCTCCCCCCCCCTCACCCTTTAAAGCTTGAGGCTGCCAAAGTTCCCAGCTCCCTCCCTTTTGTCTCTGCCTGCTTCGGCAGGAAGCTCTTTGGGGCTTGCAAAGTTACACAGAAAATATGGAATGGATTTTTCCATTAAGGTCTCTGCACCCGGACAGACTACTCCGGGATTGTTTCCAGCAACAGAAACAGTGCTCTGACTGGAATGACAGCCCCCAGAGTAGCATGACGGTCTCTAGCAAACGAATCTGTGTTCTGGGACTGGAATGACAGGGCGCAGAGTGGAATAACAGCCCTTGGGAGTAGCAGCAGCATTCTAGGAATGGAATTCCAATCGCAGAACACTTCTGCTACTTCTAGGGACTGTCATTTCACGCTGTGGCTGTCATTCCAGTCCCAGGGTAGTCTATCTGGGCCCAAAGACCTTAATGGGAAATCCATTCTGTATTATCTTTGCAACTTTGTCTGTGCTGCAATGTATTTCAATGGAGTGGAGCTCAAGAGGTTTAATTTTCCATTGTCTGCATAGTTGAAGCTGTTGCTTGCTGGAGTTGTCTCCTTGCAAATACAGGGTTGATGTTTTAAGCCAGCTTGTCTCTGCTGAATGGACCTGAGAACAGGTGCCTGAGTGAGTACTCTAACCTGGGAACCCACAGCCAAAGGGGGGCATTACACTGGAGAGTCACTGCCACTCTGAGTAAAAGGGGGAGGGGGAGCTTGCAATGCCCAGCCATTTTATGTTCCTGGGCTCAGAGCATTTTATATTTTTAGTTTATATTTTTAGTTTCTGCTGTGATCCTTGTGTTTTATTTTAAAAACTGCATTGCCAAACTTCACTATTCCCCCACCTTTCCATTTTAGGTAGGCATCTTTTTTTGGGTGGGGGGAAGGTTTGGGAGGTGTCAGTTATCAAAGACTGTTAAACAAACAAAATATTGCAAGAGTTTTAAGCATATTTGTATTTTAAGTAAAAAAAAGATGTCTTTAGTTGTGTTTGTATCTTTTATAAAGTTTATATCTCTGCAACCTGGCATTACATTTTATGACATGCATGGCCCCACAAAGTCCCATTTATGTCAGATCCAGTCCTTGTAACAAATGAGTTCAACACCCCTGACCTAGACAATTACTAAAGAAACAGTATTTCCACAACAGCAGTGGGGGAGAGAGAGAGCAATACATTAGCAGAGCTAAAACAGCTTGCAAAAGAATCCCTCACTGGTTCTATCATACATACACAATAGTTCTGCCAAATTCATACTCATTCTGCCAAATTCTGCCAAATTCATACTCATCTACAATCCAAGCCATACTGTTGGAAAAATCCAAATGCAGCTATATAACCAGGCAAATGAGAACCCTGTTTTTTCCAGGTCTGACTGCTCAGTGTACCTCCCCTGTTTGCCCATTTTCTCTTGCAGCAAGCAACAGTGAGAGTACTAAGGAAGTTACTGAGATATGGCTCAGGAATTCACAACTAGAATTGCCAGCTCCCTCAGCACTGGCTCAGACCGTTTCTCTCTGTTCCATGCACAGCTGCCTGGGAGTGATGTAGAGACTTCAAGGAACATAGAGAAAAGCTCATATACTTCTGTCTTAACCATACTACAAAACCAAAACTTGAGCACCCTATAGGGAGGGTTCTGCAGTGTGGGACAAAATGTTTAAGATGGCCTTAGGTGGACTAGGCAAAGATTTTAAGTGAGTCTTTATATGCTTTTGATGGACAGGAGCAACGGTAAGCACATAAATATCTTTCATGTTGATAGCAAGGAGCAAAACAAAGGTTTGATTTTTTAAAAATCTCTTAATAACGTGAATAAATTAGTGACATTTTGCTCAATAGAAAATGTACCTTTCACCCAAACTACCTTACAAGATACCTCTGAAAACCATGAAACAGAGCACTTCTTTACTGAGGTAGGTTTCTTAAAAGCACTCAAAGGCAACAAAGTTCAAGAAAATATTCCCTCCTCTTTCATTGTCTTTTGCCCTGACAGCTGCTTTGACTTTCCATCATGACCACTGGTCGTATTTCTACCCTGAAACAAACAAGCATAAACTAATCAACTCTGGACCTATGGATCTCAACTCCTGAGATCTAGACTGCAGAGAACATTTCTCCTGGCAAACAAATCTGAAGACTACCACAAGCTTCAAAAGCAGCCAAATACAGACATGCAACTGTACTGTAAACAGCCATATTAGTTTCTGCAGCCATAGGCAGTAACAGCAGAAACCAATGGTTAGATAATAAATGACAGCAAGCCCATCAGTGAAACAATGTGCTCACCCAGACACTAGAACAAAAGGAAGAGTATTCATAAATAGGTAGGCATTCTTTTTCACAATACACAATGACAACTTTCACCATAAAGTGTACTCATTTCATAGTTCATCGCCAGAAGCGTAGACCATAGACACTAGATGACTGCCATGGAAACCAAGAATCCTTGCAAGACATCTTAATTTCTACCTCTGTTTCTCTTCAAACTGACTGTTCAGATGTGCTATGAACCAATCACTTTGATCACATATCCACAGAATAACGTGGTTAGTAGTTAAAAACAAAGATAAGACCATGCATACTTCTTAATTTCTACCTCTGTTTCTCTTCAAATTGACTGTTCAGATGTGCTATGAACCACATATCCACAGAATAACGTGGTAAGTAGTTAAAAACAAAGATAAGATTATGCATACCGTTACTCTCACACTGCCCCTGTCATCTATGGCTAAATGGCTGGCAACCAATGAAACAGCATTCTTGATTGTGGCACCAAGATTATGGAATTCCCTCCCCACCAAGATTCATCTGACTATTTGTCTATTGTTGTCTTTCCCCTAGTAGGTGAATACTTTTCTGGTTGTCTAGCATTCCCTCACTGATCTTCACTGACCCTTCCCCCCGTTCATGTGTTACTTATTTTGTTCCAACTGTTTTTAATAGGAGGGGGGGTGTTGTGTGTGTGTGTTTAATCCTGTTTTAATGTTTTTATTGTTTGCCACCTAGGGACCTTTAGTTGGGTGGAGAAGGCAACATAAAAACGTTTTAAATAAATATGAAACTACTTCAATACTGTAAAAGGTATCACCAGAACTCTATTCAGTGTAGTTTTTCTATGTACTGTAACCTAAAACACAGAGTAAAATAGGAAAGAATAAGAACACTTTTCCAAAACGTTCACTTGAAAAGTTAGCTTGTGAGAGCCACAATGACACTACACTTCTCACCTGGTCTTCTTCCTCATCCTCTTCATCTTCTGCCAAGCGCTGCCTTCCCACCTCGTACAGCCTGCAAACTGTGTCCATGTTCATGGCATCCATACTTCCTTGGTTCTAAAACAGGAATCCCACCCCCAAAAGTAAGTGCATTATCTTTTAACAAGACATATTGTGCACACTTACATGCAGCTGCATCACCTGTCTAATAATCTCCATCCATGTTACACATACAGAACATCAGTTTTACAACTAATCCAACTGTTCCATTTAACTTGGCAAGGACGGTCACATAACAAATGCTAACACATTTCTTGCTATTCAAGAATCACACTTACCTCAATAACTGCCAAGTAACAGTCCTTTGAATCAGTACACAGGTCAAAGATGTTCCTTTTTACATCGATGGTGGCTGGAAAAGAACACATCAGAATCAACAGGAGTCCCCATACACCTTAATCTACCCTTTGTGCCAACTGCTAAAAACCAAATCCAATCCCACTGAACAATGGCTGTCCACAAGGAAACCAGTTTCTCTGGAGCCTTGAATGAGAATTTTCATGAGCTCTGTGGGCATTTCCTCAGACAGCTAGACAAAATTTGTCCACAAAGAAAACTGAAACACAAAAATACCTGCCAAACACCATTTCAGACACAATAAACAGTCTTTACCAATTGGTTTGTAGTCTGTGGCATTGAATGTTCTGAAAGAAGATCCAAAGGGACTCCGCATCCTCTCTTCCAGCAGGTCATCTTCATCATCGGCCTGTAACATTGCTGATTGAGGGAGAAAAGATTTGTAAGTAGAGAACTGTTTCTGTTCTAAAACAGCCCCAACAGATTAACTTTTAATACACATTTGTCTCCAGAGCGGGACAAAATGGGACAAAGACAACCAGCAGACCAAATTCAGACTATCAAAAGTGTTAAGCATTTCTGTCAAGGACATTTACAAATTGTAATATATTTTGTCTGGAAATTTGGAGTTTTCTGCTCAGTTATCTTTGATTTCAGGAGAGGGGAGAAAATACTGAGGGCAAAGGAAACTGTTCAGAAAGTAAAGGAAGAATTGCAGAAAGGGCCAAAAGGGCAGAAAAAAGAGGAGCAATGGGAGGAACGGAGAAGCACCAATACTCTAGGACAAGAAGCTGAACATCATGGTAGAAACAGAGTGGGGGGGGGGGATGAACATCCCATAGCAGGCATTTCCCTGCTCTTTTGTGTTTCTGTGAGGTAGCAGAGAGAAAGGAAATAATTCTCTGCATATGTTAAGCCCACTTGACGGAGATGTCATGTGCCTTGCTGAGCCAGCAAGTATCCCTGGCGATGAAAGTTATTGTTTTGCTCTCCACCACACAAATACAAACACAAAGAATGACCGATGTATCATTCATGCTAACCAGCATCTTACCTCCATACATTACTGTTCCTGTGTGGTTGAAGACTACACGACACTGATCCAAAGCTGGCACTGTGTGTAACAAGTGGAAAGTTCGCAGGTCCCACTGGAGAGTATGTTATGGAAAATCAACAGAACAGTCTATGATTTCTGGCAATGGTGACTCGGTGTATTACTGTTGGCCGTTGCAGAATATGCCTGTGGCAACAAGGCTAGGATCCAGCACAAGGATTCAGCGAATGCCACTAATATAAAGGGATTTGCGTTGAGGTCCCAAACTGCTCTATCCCCAACAACTCATCTGACTGTGAGGGTAATGGCAGCACAAGGCCTCTTGCCCTCCCTCCCAGATTGCGCTCTCTCCCTTGAGACTCAACCTCACTCACAATTTCGGGTCAGGCAAAAGAGTCCATCTGAGGACATGTGACATTTACAAATAACTAGACAAGAAGTCTGTGTATGTTTCCTCAATCTGTATAATACGTTCTAATCATAGGACAAGAGAGCCAAAGTTGTTTAAAGGGTCTTATAACAAAAAGGGGGGGAAAGAATTTCTCAATGACATCAAAAATTCAGCTTTAAGACTATCCATAGTTTTTATAACCAAATCGAGAAGTAGCCACCGGCAAGAAGCCTCGCCAATTTAAACACCCATCATGTCATTAAATAGCCAAGGTACGCTTTCTCATTACACAAATAAGGCAAAATTCAAAGGGCCCCAAACCAACCAAGCTAAAAGTTATCTTGTATGGATGAACCATCTTGGGTTTTATGGCATGACTGGCACTTCCACTGTAGCCCTTGGCAATGCCAACTCAGAGCCATCTGCCCAAGAATCTATCGCTTCAAACTGCTGCTGATGTCACAAGCTTAGAGAAATCTACCTCTACATTTCTTCAGACTGAACAAGAACGTTACACCAAATGCTGCAATTAAATCAATTGCTTATCATGCCAAGCTTCTTTAAACTGTGCAGATCACAGCTGAGGTTAAAAAAGAAAAGATACAATCTCTGTGTTGACGATAACTTCCAGACCATTGGGATGGAATACGCCACTGATGGTCATATTGAATTTGTCAAACTTATGTATAGCCTGTGCAGAGCGGACATCCCAGAGGACACCATCGTTTAAGACAAGATCGTCTGTAGGGTTGAAGGTGGCAGAATTCTTCTTGTAGTTGTTGGCAAGATCTGGGTTAAACAGAGTCAACAGCTTGTTGCCAGTCTGAATATCATAGATCTTTTAGATTAAAAAGAAGAAGAAAAAAAGATTACTCAAGATCTGCAAGATGTTAGTATCCAAAGAGAAACAAGTATACACCCTCATTTCCAAATAAACTCCTTCCTTGTGGACAATGATCTCCCCTTAGTTGCTCATTATTCTTCCAAAAAAAGCTCAATAGTTCACAAGTCAGGTTCTGTGGGAGAACTAGAAATCAATATAGATGCTATTGCGGTAGAAAACAATTACCTATACACTACTACGGTATATGAAATGTCCTTTTACTAGTGTGGTCACTGAATACTCCTCCCTGAGGTTACAGAATAGCTTCCCTTGATTTGGAAGCTTATGAACAGAAAAGTGGTTTATACTACTTCCATCTTCCCTTTTTAAAAAAATGCTACAATGAGGAATATATTGTTAAAAACAATGACAAATACTTACTCTTTCTGGACTGCCCTACTGTCACAGTCACTAGAAGCAAACTGAAGGAGCCTCACCAGTTTAAAAGAGCTCCCTTCATTTCCTAACTCAACTGAAACCACCTATATGACACCTCTAATTGCTCTCATGACACTTATACACTCCATACAGTGCTCAGCCCATGGCTGATGCTAAATAGCGGCACTTGCAATTGATATATATCTTTCACTCCCAGAAAACTTACCACAACATCTCCCAGCTTTGTAGCAGGTAACCAACAAGGCTCTTTTACAAATGAACCACGGGGAAACAGAAGTCTTTTAACATGTGTACATGATCATTCTAGGGCAACGCAGCCTAAGGAGCAAACTCACAGCTGCTCATTGATCAGACTACTGCTTCTAATTTCCCGAGCTACTCCCCATATTCACAAGATAATCTGCTGTGCTGTGTGCTCAATGTGCTGGGGATGTCTCAAATCAGGACCCAGAGAAAGGGGTTTTGACTGAGCTAAGGGCCTGTGGATTATTGTAAAGAGGCTGCTACAAAAAGATTCTATGTAACAAACAATGGAGAATGCCTGACAAAATGAGAAGAAATGTTAGCATTACTGGCGCATGTTACTAAAAGCTTTTTATGGGCACATTTCTTTTAACTACTATTTTCGTATACATGCTTTCATGATCTGGGCTGTGCCACCAGAGACCTACTAGGCCCAGGGAGCTAGGGTTGCCAAGTCTTCTTACCTTGGCAGTGGGGGAGCGTTGCCGGGCTCTGGGAGCTCCTCGGTGGTGCGTGCGCGCAATTTGTACACGCGCGCCGCCAGCATGTCACAGGAAGTGACGTGCTACGTCGCTCACATTGAGGGCGTGCCCCAGATCGTCAGAGGGAAAACTTGAGCGTGTCCCAGATCGTCAGAGGGAAAACGTGAGCTACGTGGCTGTGTCACCTCGGGTGACGCAGCCACGCTGCGCTTCAGGGGGCGGAGTTCCCCCCAGGGCCCGATTCCACGCGGCGAAAATCGGGCCTCCAAAGCGGGGATTTCCCTGCCCCCCGCCCCCACTTGGCAGCCCAACAGGGAGCCTGGCTAGCCGTAGGTGAGGCTGGGCCTACAACTCCCAGAAGCCCCTGAGAGGTTTTGGAGCCAAAATTGACCAATAGGAAAAGAGGAGGGCTTGGAATAAAAGATCTGGAGCAGCAGGAAAAGCTGTTCTATTTCCCAGAGGGCAGAGCCAGAAGGAAGGCTGCTGCAAGGAAGAGACCCTCATCCTGAAGGAAGGGTAAGTAGTCTAGTGTCACTTGGAATAGTGAGCTAGGGACAGTATATATTTAGACGCGTTAGGGCATTTGATTTCTTTTCTTTTCGCCCACTTACTGTTGTATTTTTGCACCTTGTTATTTGACCTCCTATACAATAAACTATTTTATTTATTCACTCTGCCTGGTCCACACGCCTATTATTCGGCCAAAAGTTTATGCTCTGGGCCTTCTCAGAGGAGCCTGGAACCAGAGTGGTGGCAGCGTCAGGTGACACCCCACCTGAGCCGTGACACATGAAGAACTAGGAAGCAGTTCTATTTATCATACTTTGAAGATTTGCCTTTTCTCAGATGCATTTCATTTATGCATATTCCTAAAAAGCCAATTTCCCTTTGGATCCTGTGGGGTAGCTAAGAATAAACATTGTTAGCTTGTTGCCTCACAAATGGGCAGATCATGAGTGGAGATCAGATTTCCCTCGAAGGCTAACAGAAGGAACAGCAAGGCAACAGAGAAAGGTACTTTGTTTAAATGCAAATATCTATGGAAATGAATTAAAAGCCAAGGAAAATTGTCAACTATTTGACTATATGCTTTATGACATTTCTACATTTTAAGAGGAAGAGAGTCCGTTGACATTAATTCTGCCAGAGATTGCCACCTTCAGAATGACCCTAACTCTTTGGAATTGATGTTAAGTTGGTGAAAAAGTCTAAGTACTGATTCATCACCATTTATCCCACATCAAAGAGCTACCGTGTTTTCCCGAAAATAAGACAGTGTCTTATATTAATTTTTGCTCCCAAAGATGCACTACGTCTTATTTTCAGGGGATGTCTTATTAAGAAGAATACGGTACACTCCGTCAGGGCAGAGCGAGCAGCAGGCGGCAGCTTGTCCTGGTGGCAGCGCGGGCTCTCTGATTAAAAGAGACCTCGCACTTCCTGTCTGCTCCGGGGGGCCTTATTATCGGGGAGGTCTTATTTTCGGGGGATGCCTTATATTTCAGCGAGAGGCAAAACTGTAAGTAGGTCTTATTTTCGGGGGATGTCTTAATTTCGGGAAAACATGGTACTACGAAGAGAATACATTTTATAGATTCTCTTTAAAAATCTTTTATTATTCCCAGACAATAAGGAAGCATTTAATGATCTACAACCAAAATACTATTAATTGCCAGGTGAATGTGTTCTAAGAAACGTCCCAGAAAATACTACAAAATCATAGAATCAAAGAGTTGGAAGGGACCTCCAGGCTCATCTAGTCCAACCCCCTGCACAATGCAGGAAATTCACAAATATCTCCCCACCACCACCCCCAGTGACTGCTGTTCCACTCTCTTTAAAAACCTTTATTATTCCCAGACAGTAGGGAAGCATTTAATGATCTATTTCTCCTACAAACAGTGAAATCCGCTGCTTTCTCAGTACAGCCCCTCATACGCCTTAAAAAATCCACTCGGGAGTGGGGGACCCTATGGGGAAATGGTAGAATTGTTTCCTCATCTCTACATGAGCTTTTGTTCCATTTCCAAAGCTTGCTTCACTTTTGCAAGAATGGAGAAGGGATTCTGCCAATCCTCACTTCCTGCTGTAGCCCCCACACTGCTCCCAAGTGTTGTACCACCATCAGTAGTTTTGGGGGTGCGCTCACCCCCAGTGACTGCTGTTCCACGCCTAGAACACCTCTTACGAATTATTCAGTCAGGCTAGACACTGATCCATTTCTCCTACAAACAGTGAAATCCGCTGCTTTCTCAGTACAGCCCCTCATACGCCTTAAAAAATCCACTCGGGAGTGGGGGACCCTCATGAACAGCCTATGGGGAAATGGTAGAATTGTTTCCTCATTTCTACATGAGCTTTTGTTCCATTTCCAAGGCTTGCTTCACTTTTGCAAGAATGGAGGAGGAGGGATTCTGCCAATCTTCCCTTCCTGCTGTAGCCCCCACACTGCTCCCGAGTGTTCTACCACCATCAGTAGTTTTGGGGGTGCGCAGGGAACTGCAACAGGAAGGCTGTAAAAACACTGTAAAAACACTCTGTGAAGCCACTCTGTTCATAGAAAAATCTGATCCAATCCTGTAAATGCTCAGTGGTAAGAATAATTACCTTGAGGAGAAACCTGTTAAGTATTCACAGCATTAAATCAGACTATGTAGTCCAGTCCTACAAAGCTTGTTCCATCTTTTGATCCTGTTGAAGAGACTATCACTGCTGCCTGGCTTTCATGTTTGATCTCACTGACAGCTGCCTCAAGCAACACCAGTGCCTAGACAGTGCTGCTCCATCAGCACACATTTTTTCCTTCTAATTACGAGCCAGCTCATGCTTCGCCTTCTACAAGCATCCCCCAACTCTCGAGTGGTTAGTTTTGACGGTGCAAAGGGCTGCAGCAGGAAAGATCCATTCTGTTCACTGTTGTTTGGATCCACAGTTGGCCTTGCAATGTATACTGTTTACAGCCCAGTGCTTCAATCCCTCCAGTTCTCAATCTCTGGCAGCCCAGTGCTTCAATCCCTCCAGTTCTTTCAGTATGAACCGCATCCTTTTACACCATGTTTTGCCCCTGTTGCTCATAAGATGCAGTGCTAGTTTGCAAGCTGCTTTCAGTACCTCATCAAGAATATTTCATGGCTTTAGCAATTCCACAAGAGATACTTACATGGGCAATGTCCCCCTTCGTGCCAATGACCCTGTCCTGAGAATGCTTGCTGAATTCCACATAATGGTCATCTGTGAAGGAGTGCCTGCACAGGAGAATCAAATGTCAAATGAAGCAGCAAAACAGCCTTTTCTCAAGGGCCATTTATCACACTTCTCTGTAGAATTTTTAATGCACCAGTGCATCATGTAATGAATGCTGGTTACTGAGCCAGCAGAAGGTGGTCATTTCCCTTCTACTTATAAATGCTTCTCCCTCTAAGACAATCTTCTACATATTTATCAGCAGCCAGTCATGTACTTGAACAGCACCGAGTTGAACCGAAACTTCAGATTCTGCCAGCAGAACAGAGTGTGTGATTTTCACCAATTCCACTCTCCCACTGCGGACAGCCATCCAGTGCCCAGAGCTATTCCTGAGCTATTCCACTGACACTGGGGAGCAGCGTTTGGAAAGCTGCTGCAGGAGGCAGGGAAAATTTCCGATTTACGAGCAGTGCTCTACTTCAGATCTAACCCATTTCTACAATGCACTCGAGTTCATGAGATTACAGCTTCTTAAAAGATTGCTTATTTCACATTCTGGTCCATTTAAGGTAGTGAGAATAAATTAAAAGGCAGACTTACTTGATATCAAAGACAGACTTCATTCCCCACAATGCAGACAGAGGCTGGCTCCATGTTGCAGATGTCAGCAATAAAGAGCCGTCCTGTGGGATTGAAAAAGCAGACAAAGGGTATTATTGTTAGCTATCTGGACACCACTATGCAGCTCGTCTTCAGACAGATTCTCTGCTTGTCATTTCGGCTTGGGAAATTGGCTAAAAGCACCACAAGACAAACAATATTTCAAGTTACCAACTAAACCACCACTATATGATAAGCTATAGTTGGATGAAATGATTAGTACCAATTAATAATTTTTCAGTAAAGTTTCATCATCATGTACAGTGGCATAGAAGGGTGATGAAACATAGAATTTTGATACCTTTCAAAGATGATCCCGTTAATTTGGACCAAGGAACACTTAAAGTGAACAACACCTGGGATCTTTTTCTTCTCCTCCAATACTTGAAAATATTTTTCCACACAATAGTAGTACTAGGGTTGGCTTTCACACTTTTCCCCTCTTTCAATACAGAATACCCACTACAGCAACACCCTTCCAAATATACATAATTTTGTTTCTATACATAGTTGTGATTCAACTCCCTCAGGCTACCCTTAAGCTACAAAGCTGAAAAAGATTTGACAAGTAACACTTTTTTCCTTTTGTGCATTATATCACCACATGCTTAAGCTGGAGACCTGGAGATCTAGGGCAACTGAAAGATAACAATGGCTGCATTCAGATTTCATGACATGCTTGCACATTTGCCTCCCTCCTTCCCCTGCATATGGAGCGCAATCAGTGGTTTCCATATCTGGGAAGCCTTGCATCAAGTTCCAGTTTGTCACAATATCTGACTACAGACAATTGGGTAAATTAAACTTTTCCCCCCTACCTCACAAACCAGGATTTTAAACACAAGATTTAAAATTTGATTTGTAGAGAGGAAACAAAACTGCAATTCACCCAGGTGCCTACAGTCAGATCAGCCATCATAGCAAAGTGGAGACTGATTAAAGGATTACCAAATGCATAAGCCTTCATTTGCACTCTGTGCATGAGGGGGAGAGGGAAAGGAATGTTCAAGCATGGCAACAAGTCGTATTCATGCCCACGACGAGTATCTGTTTGCCACGGGATCTGAAGACAGCCTGTGCCAAAGGCCACTATTTACAGTGACTAGTCTACTATACTATTTAATCAGACATAGAAGCATCCTAAATTGGAAAGAACAAAAACATGCCTGGTACATAAAGAAGCCTGGCTACAGGAAAGGTAGCACTTCTCACAGAGCTCAGCTGGTAGTTTCTAATGAAGTGCGCTCTGGCTCAGAGAAACTTATGCACAATAAATTCACCAGTCTTTTAAGGGGTCACAAACCTCTTAGCTAAAATAAGAAAAACCCATATAATTCACAACAGCCACAAGGTTATAATGGACCGAGAGTCCACAGTAGCATACTAATATTCAGGATACTTTCCCTCCCCTGGACGGCTCAAGGTGAGTGATGGCAGAGTTGTGGCAACTGTAACTGGCCTCCTCCTACCGCTCTCGGGCAGAGAACGCACAACATGTAAAGCCACTTTCATCTTCATTGGCTTCCCGGAACACAGAAATTGGACGGAACCTGGGAAACGAAAGAGCAACCAATTAAGAAAGTGAACTTCAAAGTGAAAGAGGACGGCGTGTAAGTGACAAGCAAACTTTGAAGTTTGAAAACTGCATCGGAAAGTGTGCTAGGATGGAAGCGTTCTTCTTAAAAGGAAGACAAGTTTCTGTACAATGATCCAAACATGGAAGTTGCTGCAGGTAGCTATCAGTAGAGCACGATGAAGAACAGTACACCAAAGTCTTCCAAATAAGTCACCATGAAACCAGAGGTTCTACTCACACTGCGACATCCGCATGGGCACTTGTTTTTAGATGGGCTGGTCAAAAGAACCATAGGAATTCAGAAAACATCTTCCTTACCTGCTGAATATAAGGTGTCTATCAAAGCATCCACCATCCACCCCGCCATACTTTGGAAAGGCTGCCCTGCGAGTCAGACGTGAGGTAAAGTTAGTTGGCGCTTGGCGCCTCTGTTTTGGCTCTGGACACTGGTGGGGTGTAAAGAGAGAAAAGGGGGGGCAAGTAGCCACAGGGTTCTTGCAGCGAGCATGCTGCTCCCTAAGGTACTCTGTGATTATGCTGTCCAGCGTGGGAGGGGAAGGGAGGTGCCTGTCCAACTGTTTTTTGATGGCTGGGCTCTGGCTGTAGGCGCCATGGTCTGACTTTTGCCGCAACACTCTGATTTTCCTGCCATTGCAGGGAGACGGCCTCTCCCGGATGAAGCTAATCCTGCCAATCACAGGGGAGTTGCTGGCATGAGATGGACCCGGGAGGGCAAGTGAGCTCTGGGGGGCAGCCTGCTTTGGCTGGGCATGGACAGAGGCAGCACTGGAAGCCACCGAGGCATGGCTAGTCAACCGGGCTGAAATGCCATTTGCTATACGAGGGGTACGAGGCAGAGGCACGGGAGAAGCAGCGGCAGCCACAGGGGTGAAGGCGGAGGAATGAGAAGCTGCCGTCATGGGTAGGTCTGCCTCCCTGGTAAGGACCGTGGCAGTTTCTCCCAGCCCTTTAGAGATGAGATGGTTCCTGATCAGAAGGAGCAGCTCTTTCTCAGGGAAGGAAATCCTTGACTGAGCCACCACGTCTGCTTTCTGCAGTCGAGCCAGTGAGACGTCCGTTCCGATCAGCAAGGGTTTTCCTGAGACGCGCTCTATCAGCTCAGCAGCGTACTTGCAGAACTTGACGTGCTCGCTGCGCTTGTCCTGAAGAACAGGTTCCTTCATCAGCTGCTGGATCTGGCAGCTGCTGAAGAGGGGCAGCTTGCTGATGATCTGCCGGACCGTGCTGCTACGCGACAGCCCGACCAAGGCTTTGCACGCCAGGGCTCGTATCTGGTCTGCGTCCGTAATGGGCATTTTTACAGACAGCAGCGACAGCAGCACTTTGATGCCGTTGTTGGACTGCACCACATTCCACATCTTGGCCAACGTGTGCTCGCTACTCCTGGGTGCCTGGGGAAGCTTACGTCGAGGGGTGCCGGAGATGAACTTGCCGATGCTGGAGATGCGATTGTCTGGGCCACACACACAGTTAATGATGATCTGAAGGGCCGACTTCTGGATTTCTGCATCATGGATGAAGAATTCACCTTCGGCAACTCCCAGGATGATGCTAATACCTGATCACAAAGGAAGCATTTCCACAATAATTAATGTAAGAGGCAGGGCCAGTTTTGACATTATAGAAACAGCACGGCTGCAGCTCCCCTATGTTGCCATCTCACACTAATCCATTCACACCAGAATAACGAAAATCACATAGGAGGGTGTACACATGGAGCTGCCTTACCCTGAATGAGCCCACTGATCCATCAAAGTTATTGCTGTCTACTCAGACTGGCCGCAGCTCTCCAAGGTCTCACACAGAGGTCTTTCACATCACCTACTGCCTGGTCCTTTAAACTGGAGTTGCCAGGAATTTAATCTGAGACCTTCTGCATGCCTAACAGATGCTCTATCACTGAGCCACAGCCCCTCCCCTGAAGTCATTATTTCCTATGCTAGCATACCTTCTCTCTCTCCTGATGTCTTTCCTTCACAATACGGTAAACCATTAACAGCTCTCACATATAACCTCTCCTCTTTTTTTAATTACCATCAGAACAGGGGGAAGCAGCAGCCAACTCTAAATATGAGAGTTAGCCCACTGACTGCACAAAAAGAACATAAACCTGAAAGCTTCATTCCTGTTCTCTCAGAACCCTCTTTAATGATGCCTAGAGGCCCACCAAGAACTACATCTGATCTAACAGTACCAGTTCCTGTTGCCCTCCCACACAGTACTGAGCTCAGACCCAGCAGAAAGTCAAACACAGTTTCTTCTACATTGTTGGTTTACAGCCAAGCAATTTAGAAGCACACACTGTCTTGTAGGCCAGAAGAGGAATTTATCTGTTGTCGCTACAGAAGTGGGGTTTTCCGCAAAAATTAAACAGAAAGAAGCATGGATAAAGTGTGCTTGCTCTTAAACAACGAGGACCACACACAACCTTAACAATGACCCAGATTAAAAAGAAGTTCTAGAATTCACACCATGGTTTTTTTGGGTGGTGGGGGGGAGGCCTCCATCACTTAATTCTTAAACTCACTAGTAGACACAATCAGACAAATGAAACACTCAGGTGTGCATAAATCACCTGTTCCCTACCAAGCATGAAGGTAAGAACAATGCTCTTCTCTGTCCCACCATACTCAGCATTCCTTGTTCTGATGGAGCCCAGCAACTAGCTAAAGCTAACTCTGTAAGCTGTGATGCTAAGGTGCCGCCAACAGGGGATAATAAAATCAAGGAAAAGTGAAAATATCATACCATTCAAGCCTAAGAACAGATTCAGCTGGGTAGTCTGGTTGTTCTGAAGCAGTAGAACAAAGTTTGAGTCCAGTGGCACCCCTAAGACCAACAAACTTTTATTCACAGTACTGGCTTTCGTGTACAAGCACACTTCTTCACGTTTTATTCACAGTATTGGCTTTCGTGTACAAGCACACTTCTTCACATACAGTGAAACAGAATTTCCTTAACCATTACGCTCAGTCACTTATGCATCTTGATTCTGGCTGGCCCTTCCTGGGAGCTAGCCCCCCCTTCCTATATGTGATGGTTGAGGAAATACTGTTTCACTGTATCTGATGAAGTGTGCTTGCACACAAAAGATCATACCTTGAATAAAACTTTGTTGGTCTTAAAGTTGCCACTGGACTCAAACTATGGTTTTCAAGCCTAAGAACAGTTCTACATGTGCTTGTATGGATAATGTCATGCACCAGTTGTTACAATGACAACTTGCCACAGATCATTCAGCATCCACCTCCTTGAACAATTTATGAAACCTGACACTGAAGATTTCAGGAACAAGCAAAGCAATTCATAGAACGATGGAACCTAAACAAAGAAGAGGCCAAACTGTACATACCCACAGTGGAAACAGTAGATCCTGCCTCATCCAACACATCCACAGACTCTGCTAACTGCAACTGGATCTTTGGGACCACAGTAAGGATGGCCAGGACATCCAAAGCATAACGTACTGTATCATTCCTAGAAATGCAAAGTATGAAATTACCAGACAAATACTAACTATGCAAGCCACCATACCTGCAGTTGTTTTTGGCTAGGAGGCAGTGCACCCTTCTCACATGCTGGGCACTTGCCTGGAGCAATCATCAGTTCCAGACACAAGGGTGTGTTAAACTCCATCATGCGCTCACCTGGCATAGTAGGTCTTCCAGTCACATGCTATTGAAATTAGTTGCAGCATAAGTTGCACACAAGACAGTTTGAGAAAGACCTCTGCTGGCTCCCAATACAGCTGTGCAGGCCCATATTCTATTAGAAATTCCATCATTTCTACAATCTGCTCATGATTGTAAGAACAAGCCTGCAAAGAGGAGAAGTAATAATACTTATGCTCCTTAGAATATTTCATTTTTAAACTTTCCAATCAGTATTTCCACAAAAGACAGCTCTTGTACACTTATTTTAAAAAGAGCACATGACAACAGTTAATCCATGAAGCTACCAAGGCATGAAAATCCATCTGTGAAGTTCTGTATCTAATAACACTGATGAAAAGCACACCAGTGAAATTCCCACGTACAACAACAGCAAGCAGTCCATCTACCTCTACTCACCTTGTACAGAGGCTGTGGATGGACCAGAATGCCGCCCTCTGTGCGCTGAAGTGACTGTTTCACCTGCTCTACTTTGATAGCAAGGTGCGCCTCAAAATACCTGCGCATGGCCATGCAAGTGTGTTTCCCGGTCTGGCGGCTGGCAAAGATCTCATCATCACTTAACAGTGCACCCTGGTCCTCTAGGTTTAAGATCTCAAGCGTGCTGATCTAAAAGGGAAAAATAAGCATCTTTTTTAATCATCCTGTTTCCAAAAAATATGGAATATAAAAGCTCATCACCTTCCTATTTTATTCATAAAAGGAAAAAAAGAGCTTCCTTCCTCCTACACAAAGAAAACTGGTACACCAAGGGGCTGTGTTAACAGTGCTGCCAGAGAAGATTCAAACATGCAAGCAACTGACACGGGTAACTCTCACAAAAGTAACCAGGGCTTATTTCCAGACAGTCAGCTTATTTATTTACAATGAAGGAATCCATATTCAATCAGAGAACATTTAACACAAGAATGCAACACACACACACGCACAAAAATGGTTGCACGGTGCTTATGTCTGCACCCAGAAAAAATGAACTGCGAAAAGGTCAAAGAACTGGGATAGGGGCATTATGTCACTGCAATTGGCTTTGACCTCTAGATTCAGTGTGGCAATGTTCTTTAGTCCCATTACTGAGGGAAGTTAAGATGTCTTATTGACTCTGCTCACCTTGTTACCAAAAAGGTCCTAGATTGGGGTCCCCAACCTTTTTGAGCCTCTGGGCATCTTTGGAATTCTGACACAGGGTTGTGCGCAAAGCTACAAGATGACTGCCACGGGAGGAGGAGCAAAACACAACATGGCTGCTGCGGGAAGCAGAACCACCACAGAGAGAAAGCCCAAGCACGGGGGGAAAGAAAGGTAATTTAAAAAATGCACTGGCAAAAGAGAATAAAACCAACACTGTGGTGGCAGCTGCCACTGAAACATCATTATTTTGATCTGGTCAGCCAATCAGGTTTCCAGTGTCCAGTCAGAGCTCTGCTGGGCAACAGCTCCATCAGACCTCACCCACTTTCTAAAAATAGTTGGCGGGCACCAGGAAGGGTGTTGGCGGGCACCATGCTGGGGACCCCTGTCCTAGATCCTCTCTTTAGTGCTATTCAAACACACCACGATCATAGCAAAGGCTATGACTGCCGTCATCACCAGCTTCTACTAATTCATTAAATACCTCTAAAATGTAGCATCTACGAAGTGTAAACAGTAAGTAGGGTGAGCATGTGCCACCTTAAAGCAGAATTATCTCAAGTCCACTGACTTTGATGGAAGAAGAAGGTGGTAGTTTTGCTGAAGATGGCACTGTACGTGCCCTGAAATGCAGTGATGCCAGTAAGAGCCACGTAATGCAATTTACAGCTCTCTTTTGCTTGCACCGTAAATTACATGGCAGACAAGCAG